TGGAGATCTGGCGGTGGGACAGGAGTGCAGTAGGGGGCAGGGGACAGCAACTCAGCCAGGAGCCCTATGGGCAGGGGGCACTAGCAGGCTCTTATTCCTACTTCGAAGTAGGAATAAGAGCCTCCGGAAAAGGGCACTTTTTCCGGAGGATCGGGGCCAGTGTAGACGCTCTTTTCCGGCTTTTTTAAAAGCCGGAAAAAAGCGGCGGACATTTTTATTTAAATGCCGCGGGGGATATTTAAATCCCCCGCGCATTTCCCTACTACGACTCATGAAATTTACATGCCCCTTCCGGAAAAGGGGCCAGTGTAGACGAGCCCAACGTGTGAAACTGATTGTTCCTTCCTATGTGGAGCACTTTACATTTGTCTTTATTAAACTTCATCCTGTTTACCTCAGACCATTTCTCCAATTTGTCCAGATCATTTTGAATTATGACCCTACCCTCCAGAGCACTCGGAACCCCTCCCAGCTTGGTATCATCTGCAAACTTAATACGCGTACTTTCTATGCCAATATCTAAATTGTTGATGAAGATATTGAACAGAACCGGTCCCAAAACAGACCCCTGCGGAGCCCCATGTGTTAAAGCTTTCCAGCAGGATTGTGAGCCATTAATAACTACTCTCTGAGTACGGTTATCCAGCGAGTTATGCACCCACCTTATAGTAGCCTCATCTAAGTTATATTTACCTAGTTTATTGATAAGAATATTATGCAAGACTGTATCATGCGTCTTACGAAAGTCTAGGTATATCACATCCACCGCTTCTCCCTTATCTACAAGACTCGTTATCCTATCAAAGAAAGCTATCAGATGATTTATTCTTTACAAATCCACGCTGCCTGTTCCCTATCACCTTACCACCTTCCAAGTGTTTACAGATGATTTCCTTAATTACTTGCTCCATTATCTTCCCTGGCACAGAAGTTAAACTAACTGGTTTGTAGTTTCCAGGGTTGTTCTTATTTCCCTTTTTATAAATGGGCACTATATTTGCCCTTTTCCAGTCTTCTGAAATCTCTCCTGTCTCCCATGATTTTCCAAAGATGATAGCTAGAGGCTCAGATACCTCCTCTATCAGCTCCTTGAGTATTCTAGGATGCATTTCATCAGGCCCTGGTGACTTGCAAGCATCTAACTTTTCTAGGTGATTTTTAACTCTTAAAATCAGGAATAAGGGACCTTTCGGAAAAGGCTTTATTTTCCGAAAGATCCCGTCTAGACTGGCGCTTTTCTCCGGCAAAGCCCCGAGCTGGAAAAAAGCAGCAGCCATGTTTATACAAATGAAGCGGGGGATATTTAAATCCCCTGCTTCATTTGCAATTCCGACTTGTCTCATCTGCATCCCTTTTCCGGAAAAGGGGTGCAGTGTAGACACAGCCAATGTGTATGACCAATGGATCTGGAAAGGTGTGTTGTGGGATCTTTTTTATCATTGTATTAGTAGGAGATATGTCTGCAAGTTTTGTATCTAGTAAGGTGTGGTGCCACTCTGAGTAGGTGTACACTGCTCTGTGAGGTGCTTGTATGTGATGACATGGTTGGAGATATTGGGAGGTTATATGAAGGTCAAAAGAGGTGGTCAGGAAAGATTTCTTTCAGGATGGGTCCCCATAAAGTACAGGCTGTAGTTCTCTGATAATATCCCTGTATGGATTCCAGTGTTGGGTGATGGGTGACAACTAGGGATGTCAAGTATCAGAGGGGTAGCCGTGTTAGTCTGAATCTGCAAAAGCGGCGAGGAGTCCTGTGGCACCTTATAGACTAACTGAAGTGCTGGAGCATAAGCTTTCGCGGGCAAAGACCCACTTCATTAGATGCAACAACTAGGGATGTGTTGTCAGAGGAGGGGTAATTTCTGCATTGAAGCAGATTCTCTTGACATATTTGGGTAGCCCATTCCATGATGGAACTCTGTTTTTGAATTATTACAGGCAGTCCCCAGGTTACGTACAAGATAGGGACTGTAGGTTTGTTCTTAAGTTGAATCTGTATGTAAGTCGGAACTGGCATCCAGATTCAGCCGCTGCTAAAACTGACCAGCGGCTGACTACAGGAAGCCCGAGGCAGAGCAACTCTGCCTCGGGCTTCCTGTAGTCAGCGCTGGTCAGTTTCAGCAGCGGCTAAAACAGGA